CACACACACACACACACACATACACACACACACACACACACACACACACACACTCATCTTTTCCTTTCTCCTATCCAGAAGGATCCCAGAGCTAAAACCAAACCTCACCTCTGTTCCCGTCATTGTTTCCTACCTCATCTTATCATTCCTGATCCTGTCTTATCTTACCTTATCGTATCTTATTCTGTCTCACCGTATCTCACCTTATCTTATCTCCTCTGTACACAAACTGAACCTGCTACCCTAACCCAGTCCCACCTTCCCTCTCTTCACCAGCTGTCCAGAACGAGCGCCAGCCCCGCAACACCGCCCAGGTACGTGAGGACCAGATCGAACAGGAACTGGAACACCCCCTGGTGCCCTCCAACGCCACAGTCAGCGCCACACACCCGGCCTTCAGCCCCGGGGCCGGGCACAGGTTCATGGCCAGTCTCATCACAGGCGACGGACCCGCGGGGAAGGGAGACCCTGATGACCCAGGTAAGCCTGGGGGAAGGGAATGTTGTTCTATATATGAATGTGAGTGAACAAAACGTCCCCATCAACACAATAAATTAGATAATTTAGGAGTAGCTTCTGACCCTGCCTCTCTGAGCCAACCGGGACTTAGGGGAATACAACATCTCAGCAGAAAGACCGAGGTATTCGATAAAAAAAATTCTCCCCACTAAGGAATTGAACTCGGGTCTCCTTCGCGCGAGAGCGAAGCGCCTAGTCAATATAAGATATACACCACAGTCGCCAGCTGTGTGAGTGATAGTAGCAACGATGAATACACATAATAATAACAAATGATCTAACTGTTAACATAATCCAACGACGACTGCAGGAGATGTAAATCGGCGCCATCTTAGGAAATGGGGAAGCCATTCATTGCTGTTGCAATAAGAGCTATCCCTGTTTTGCACTACTGTGTTTGCCCTTATGCTCTCTGATCCTGTGTTATTTCGTGCACGTAGTGAAGATGCAAATGTCAGCCGGAAGTAAATCGCATTTCTTTTGACAACGTGAATGTATTATAAAACAAAAGACAACAGTATCCTTTGCGTCCAACATTACAAAATATTAAAGCTTTCCTCGGTGAAACTGTTAGGATGCCGGGTTTTAGTCACATTATCAGCAAATCAAGTGTCTAAATTCTTTAATACTAGACTGTTGGGTAGACTGATTTTGTAACTGTTCGAATTTACGGGGGACAGCTTAATCCACCAACCTACCACATTTTAGATTAAATCTGTGGACACCACGCCCTCACGTTGGACTATTGAGAACATCGCGCAACGTAAATCTTAAATAACGAACAATAATAGTAAAACCCCAACTGTTATCGTATTAGTATTATTCTTGTTAAAACAACTTTCCAACATTTTCTATACTTTGTATCCAAAGAAGAACTGCCCTTTCAAAATAATTAACCTACACTGGGTGTATAGGAGGATCTACAACAGAATCAGCAGATCAGATAACATAATAACGAATCTCCCCCATTCTACAGATGAGAACATAGACGTAACCAGTGTGGAAAACGACCAACAGCGCACGCCGCACGCTCATGGCCAGCCGACTCACGTGCACCCTCACCCGGCCGCCCTGTACATGGAGAGCGCCATCTACCCGCCCGGACACGAGACGCTGTACGAGTGCTCAGCGCGCTTGCTCTTTATGGCGGTCAAGTGGGCCAAAAACCTGCCCTCTTTCGCCAATCTGCCTTTCAGAGACCAAGTAAGTAGTTCGTGTTTCTGATCAATCGTTCGTTTTGTTCTAATTTCAATTATTCACGAGGTGACACCAAGATTTTGAAGTGAATTTACAAGAAGGATAACCACAACGACCTGTCAATCGTAAAAACTCTTGACTTTTAATTTTTATACTTTCCATTTGGTCTCTTCAACTTCAAATGACAAACTTCGACCCTTCAGGCAGCAAATGAGAACCTTTATGACTTCCTTTCAACAACAAAAAAGTGTTTAGATTCTAGATGACTTTTGAACTGAAAAATTGGTTTTAAAAAAAAAACCAAAACAGGATAATATACCGTACATTCAATTGGCAGATGGTTCCTGGACATAAGCTGATGACCAATGGCGTCGTTTAAAAAAGTTTGATTGCTATAATAGTAACAATAATAATAATAATAATAATAATAATAATAATAATAATAATAATAATAATAA